ATATATATATATATATATACAGTTTTGCTATGGAGCTCGACTTATGGAGCCATCCACATTTACTCACCAATAATGTATTGACATGTGTTCTACAATAAATACACTATGGACATGTGTCAATACATTACATTAAGTGGTGGATGGCTCCATAAGAAAACCATTCGACTAATTAATTTATACCCTAAAAATTTTATCCTAAAAATAACACAAGATTCCAACTTTATATCATAAGTAATATTTATTAATAACAACATAGTTTCTACGAAAATAAAACAGCAATCAAATATCTCAAATAAAGTCGTTCACTTTATACCAAAATGGGATTTATTATTTTATCAGCTTTATACAATAAATTGATTAATTAATTTATAGAGATGGGATTTCTTGATATTTTTTTAAAAAATATTACTAACTTTAACGTTTTAAAAAATTCTGGCAGAAATTTAGTTTATATTTCAAGTAAATACAAACCATACACACGGTTGTTTGAAGGTAGTTAGTAGTATTAAAGTTCTTTTAAATGACTATTTTCATCAAAGATGTCTATTTATCTTTGTTTGTATTTGCAAGAATCGTTCAAATGTTTATCGGTAGATTGTTATTTTTTAAAATGAGGTTTTTTATATTGATGTGATTTAGTTTTCAAGATTTTACACATTTTAATCTATATTTCAAATTCTACTTATTTGAAACCGGAAACAAAATCGAAAACAAATTCCAAACATTAACAAAGTCGAATATCTATATGAAAACTAACCGTCAGTACGATATTTTTACTTGATTATTGACAGGAAATAAAATCGGATGAATATATTGATAATCATTCATATTTAAATTAAAGGGTATTTTCCAAAATATCTTGATAAAGAATTAGATTTTAGAAAATGTATAATTTTCAAAATGATAATGTATGTTTTCTTACAAACTATATTGCAATAAAACTGGATCTCTCGGCCATTCACAAAATTAAATTTCCGGATGATGCTATGGAAATAAAATAACTAAATAAGGACTCTCAGCCATAACTTTATTTTCAAAACATTATGTACAATCATTACAAATGGTATGTAGAATATTTCTTTAAATGACGTATATAACATCTTAAACGGAATGTTTAACTTAAAATATTTAATATTATATACGAAATACATTTTACATGGACAATATATTATATACCAAAATTAAACCATGCAACTAATATAAGTAATAGTCGCAATATTAGACCAAAATAATTTTGTACATTATTACGTTGACTTTTTTAAATTTGAATTTCAAAAAATTACTAATAAAGGTAAAGATGAATTTTTTAGGCGGGAATTCAGTTACTATTTTAGGTAAATGTCAAACTTTTTATATTTATATAGATTTGTTGAAGCGTTTCTTTGGTAAACACTTTCTGGTGACTGCATTAAATACAAATACCTATGAACAGAATGACAGCCGTTGTCCAAACGTATGAAAATAATGCATCCGATCGCATTGTTAGGCCACAAAGAGGAGCTTATGGGATGCAGGTAATATGTCAATGATTTTTTTATTCTGCATTAGAATATGATTGTGTACTTGGGAGCTCAATCATGGAATAGAAAGGTTGTTGAGAAAGGTTTACTATCTGTTTACATTGGCATTATTTCTGGGTCAACTCACACGAATTATTATAAAGAATTCTGTAAGAAATGGCTAGGTAATCCTGACATTAGCCAAAATGATAAAAGAACAGAAAGGACAATCCATCTGTGCATAGTTTCTTACCAGTAAAAATGAATGTTGAAATTCAAATGTGACTCTTCTGCTATGGGCAGGTTTTGGATGATGATGGAATAGCAGCTCCTGGACAAATTATTCGGCCTGATGACATCTATATTAACAAGCAGACCCCCAAAGTCACTAGAGGGCAGCCCAACTCCCATGTGGAACTGGCTGATAGGTTTTCCATGTTGCTTTCTCACAACATATTTAATTCTTTTCAGTACCTATTTATCAGCTCACTTGCATGTTTGTAAATTCAGTGCATACAATCGATCTCCCCAGACATACAAAGGTCCTAAGGGGGAGACTCCTGTTGTGGATAAGGTAGCACTTTGCTCGGACAGGAATAACAACCTATGCATCAAGTTCATGATTCGACATACTCGGAGGCCAGAGGTAGTTAACTGACTTCCTAAATTAAATCCATTGAAAGCTTCTGTTTATATGAATATCCTTTTCCACCTAGGTTGGTGACAAATTTAGTAGTCGTCATGGGCAAAAAGGAGTTTGTGGTACTATTGTTCAACAAGAGGATTTTCCCTTTTCAGAACGTGGAATATGTCCTGATTTAATCATGAATCCCCATGGATTTCCTAGGTAAATATTTTCTTTTTCTGCATGACATTTCAAAATTTGTGCTCATTTAGATCTTGAATATTGGCTTCGACTTATTTCTTGTACACTTACCTTGGTGCACCACAAAGGTCACTTGTTATTTAAGTATTGATTTATGATCTACTCTTGCCCCTTGTTTTTATTTGGAGGGAAACCATCAGAGAAGATTGGTGTGTATGGCTGGGGATTCTCTAAACAGTTCTTGTTACTCAAAAACTCAAACTAACTAGGTAGAACGTTATCTGTTATTGACGAGCACCATTGCAATCAAGAAACTTATTAAGGATTTCCGGCTGCTGGTGAAAGGTGGGCAGAGACTACTGCAATTAGGACCTGAATAATAAGCCATTCTTGTGCTTGAGTTCCTCGTAGGATTTTTTGTGTCTGGGCTTTAGATAATACCTGTTGTAAGAGCTCCTGTACTAATCACAGTTTTCTATAGTTTGATCTGCATTTTCCCATTCTTCTCAAAGGAGGATAAAGGGAACAATATACGAACTTCTGCTTCTGAGTTCAAGCAACCATTATACATTTACCATTCGCAAAGATGCTAGTGTTATGATTATAAAAGTTATATAGAACTACAACGGAGCATGTGTTTTCGATAAAACTTACGATGGTCTTTGTTTGTTTTTTCTCAGCTAAATTTTAATTATTTTAGAAATCTGTAGGCTCATCCAAGTAGTTCTATGATTATCTTGGTTCATTGCGCTTTTGGTATGTCAGTTAAGCTGTCATGCATTGCTGCAGCTCATACTTTTCTCCCAGTTCTTGCCTTGGGATTAAAATGAAAAAAAATCTTTATTAATTCTTGTTGATAGGTTGCAGACTGGTACCATACTCATCTAATCCATGTAGAAGTTGATGTGATCTGTATTTTGGATACTGATGATTCTGCGTTTGTTCTGGATGTTGAGTACGCTGGAGGAATCAAAATTAATTTGGTTTCAATTAATTCCTGCTTTAAACTAAGTTGGTTAGTTTTATCTTTGGGGTTGTCTGCCATTGATTTTGAAATATTTTTGGTTCTCATGGACTATGGAATTCTCAACTAACTTGATAGTAGATTCTATTGGTTTCAATATGAAAATTGTTTTACGCTGCTATAATAGAAAACATTCTCTTTAGTCCATATAATTCACATAGAAACAGTCTTTTTAGTCCATATAGTTCACATTCTTACTTCATGAATCTCAGCCGTATGACTGTGGGGAAGATGATAGAACTTCTTGGTGGCAAAGCTGGAGTTTCATGTGGTAGGTTTCATTATGGAAGTGCATTCGGGGAGCCCAGCGGTCATGCAGACAAAGTTGAGACGATAAGGTGCAACCTGCCTTTTACTACTTATCCTCCTTATTTTGGTTTCTGGACAATTTTGTCAGCCTATACATTTCATATATTTCCAAGTTTTCATCATCCTTCTTAATTTGCCAGTGAAACTCTTGTGAAGCATGGTTTTAGCTACAATGGCAAAGATTTCATCTACTCAGGTCTTTCTCTCAGATTTTCATATTCATCTTCGATCATTACATGAAAGAGCAATTCAGCAAAATTTTAAGTTGTCACACAAGTGCATTACATTTTGAATTTCGTTTTTTCTTTTAACTTATTAGAAATAATGGAACACTTTAATTTACTATGTATGTAATGTGCCTTGAATTGTCTTGGTATCATCGTCCATTAACATGAGACTCTGATCTCGAAGACTTGACAGACAATGTACAACCTTTATACCACCTTAATACTCAACTCATTGTAAATAATGAGCCTCATATCCCTCTCTAAATTTTTTGTTTCTTATTAGAGTGATAAAATTGTGCGGTGTTTTAGAAATCGCTAGGCGCCAGGCTAGCGTGTAGCACCTAGAGTGCCTAGGGCGGGGCCTAGAAATTAAAATTAAATATCTTTTTTTCTTTTTCTTTTTTTTGGAATTTCATCGAACACATTGTCTACATGCTAGGTTATAACCATCACACACCATAATAGCTTTATAGCAACCAGCACCATATTTCTGCAATTTTTACTTCATTACTTGTACCAAAATGCCAATAAATTTCATCAAATTTCAAATTACTCAAAACCTAATTGCATAAACATTGCATAATGTACAACCATATGTAAAGGAGACCTATGAAATACTTGAGTAGATGACCCAGAGGTTGATAAAGGCTGATAGGGACGGTGGTCCGGTGGCGAGAATGAAGCTCTGCCAAGTGCTGAGCAACTGTGAAATGAACTTCGTTTTTTTTTTTTTATTTTTTTTTTATTATCCTGCGAAATGAAGGTAGCCTCTGAAGTTAAATGCTTCTCTCGACTCTGGACTGATGAGACACGTTTTTAGTATAGGTGGGATTACACACGACGTTGTTTTTGCTTAATAGAAAAATAAATAAAAATTAAACAAAAGGCTGGCTTCTTGCAGTGCTAAAACCCCCAACAGCACTGCTAAGAGCTGCCTATCTCTCTAACCGCTGAGGGGACCGAGGAATTCCTAGGCGCAGAGGAAGCGAGTGGGCAATTTTTTTCTCCGACTACCCCAAACCGTAGGCGGTTTAGCAGCGCCTAGGCTGACTTTTAGTATAATGAAATTGGGAATCAGTTGCAGCATCGTAGTTCACCATATAAAGTTACGATGGTCTAGAGCCAATAACACATTTCCTCACTGTTTTTCTGATAATTAGAGCGCATTTTGGTCATGAAGTTTAAATACTTCATAAGTTAGTGTCATCAATGAGAATTTTATGCAATACTAATTTCTTGTAAGATAGTATGAAAGAGAGTTGGAAATTCTTTGTGTGATGGTGCAATAGTGCCAAGTTCCTTTAGGGATTTTGATATCTAGGTTTGTACCTCAGATGACATAGGATATTCACCAAATGCACAGATGCAGCCATTTAAACATTCCTACAGTGGAAGGTCTAGTTTTCAACATGTATTTAGCATTTCAGAAGTGGGTGCTGATAAAAGGTATTAACTATTAAATTTTTTTGCTCACGTCAGTTATTAAAATAGCGCGCAGCGAGCCGAGGCGACAAGGCTCCGATTTGCCATGGCGTGAGGTGTGCGGCGAGGCGCCCGCCTTATGAAAGCGAGGCGAGCCATTATACAAAAATTAGAAATATATGTACATGTGACATTTTATCAAATTATGACATAATTATGTATATAAAAATAAATTATAATAGCTAATAAACATACAACAAAACACCACACATTAAAATAAAAACAACATTAAACAAACTAGAAATAGAAATAGTATCAACCCACACGATCCGAATTAAAATAAGAAAAAAGCTACTTGTACAAACAGCATTTTATGACAACATGATGTGTCATGATGTAGATTGTTGAGATACAAATAAATGTGTGGCTAAAATTTAACTCAATGATTATGATAACTAGTGTTGTCAACTAATGTTGTCAACTATAGTTGTACATGTAGCATATCCCTTAAAATAAACATCAACCCACCCCACAATTCCACGTTATGCCAAATTCTCAATTAAAGAAATAATACAGTGTCTACTATTCATTAAAATACAAGTGCTCCATTTTCATAAATAACAAAACAAATAATAAAAAAAAAATGCCCCGATTCGCTTTTCATCCCTGCTGGCTACTGTCAGCACTGCCGGCCGCCGGCGACGGAAGTTTAGTTGGAACCGGCGACTCAAACAATAGTGTTGTGCTGGTCAAGAATGACTGAAGCAAGAAAGGAAAAAAGAAAAAGAAGAAGAAAAGGAAAAACTGGAACATATACTCGCCGCTGTCGGTTAGCTGCCGGAATCTAGTCGATGTCGCCGGTGAAACAAAAGGCACATGGTAATTTTATAGTTTGGTAAGTTTTTTGTTAATTGATTAGTGTTAATGTCACGTCAATGAAACCCTAGGTACAAAAATACCTAAACTGCCCTGTCTCGCTTTCACTTTCATAAGGCGTCGCCTCGCGCTACGCTACGCTATATCTGAGGCGACGCCCCTATCAGAAGGCCGCCTCGCCTCAAGGGTATGAGGCGTCAAAGCCCCGCCTCGCCGCCATGGCGCGCTATTTTAATCACTGGCCTGACGTGGTTGAAAACATTGATTTTATGTGGTCACTTGATTAAGATGTTGGACTCTGGCTGGTTCAACTCCTCTTCTTGTTGGATATTGGAAGTGAGAGTTTTTAATACCATATTTTGCTGGTGGGGCTGGTTTAGATAGAACGATAACATTTCGTGCTATAAATCTTTTATTTTCTTTGATATTTTGTTTGTATACACATTTCATGAATTGTTATTCTTGATGACTTTTTCAGAATATCAACTCACGTTACCAGAAATCACATTTATTTTATTAATATTTTTTTTAAAGAAGAAACACCCAAGAAAAGTGGGAGATTAGGTCTGATCCCCACTGGACCGAAAAAACACAGGTCCAAACAAAAATTAAATAAAAAGGAAAAAAAAACATTTAAAATAAAAAGTCTGAACCCGTGCTAATAGGTGTCCAAGCAGTAATTTGCACCACTAAGTGTGCCAAAGCATAACAAACACAAAAACGGCTTTAAAAATCTAAACGAGGGGTAGCCAATCTGGTTCATCCGCATTAAATTACGTAGGCAGAGAGGGGCATCGTCAGGGTAAAGAGTGCACCTCTAGGGAATGGTGGCTCCAAGGATGGCCAGGAAGTCAGCGGGTCGGTTCTCCTCGCATAAGATATGCGAGATCGGATAGCCACCCAACCGAAGTGGATATGTTGCGCATGAGCGGATGCTGAATTAACCACGAGCCCTCGTGGCACGAGGTCAAGAGAGTAACGACAACGACAACATCTAGCAATCCCAAATGTGAGTAGAGATAGAGGGTGCAATCTGAACCGATCTGGAACATCTGAACCTCTGCGTCGTAGCTCGAGAAGGCCTGAAGAGTGACATGGAAGGTGGCAATGAGAGCTTAGTTGGGATCCCTAATCAGCCCCACACCTCCGACGGCTCCAGTGAGTCAAAAGATCCGTCGACGTCCAGCTTATCATAAGAGGAGTCCGGTCTTAGATAAACAACGACTTGGGCGCGGGTGCTGGACATGCGGCAACGGAGACGAAACGAAGTGGTGGGACGGCATGCATCTTGCCTAGTCTCTAGACGTGAGTTTGCTCAAAATTGTGCGGAGAGAGAGCTAAAACGTGAGAACACATAAAAGTAAAACATCTATGCTTCGGACTGTTCCTCTATTTCCAGATGAACCACATGATCAGACAAGGAATGAGGAAGCCCACGTGTCTAAAGTGTGTGCACTGTGAGAAAAAATTGAGGAGCACAAGAAATTGTCTGTAGTAGGTAGGTGTATTTGAGTATATGTGGCAAAATGCTCCCACATTTTCTCGCAATCTCACTATCTAGAATGAAGTAGGAAAAAGTCTCAGTATGAAATCACCGGTCTGAGCACAACACTAACACCGCACAACACTAACACCGAGAGGGGAAAGAAACCTTCATCGCCTGCAACATAGAGTCAACTTGAATCTGGCGCAGAAGAAGACGCAAAAGGAAAACGGTGATGGTAGGGGTAAGCAGGTCGGTCCAAATGGCCCCGAAGAAAAGGTGAGGCCGGTACTTCCCCCAAATTAAGGTCGTAGAAAATACACCCGAAGATGTAAGTCTCCATCTCATACTGTCCGAACCATCCTCCGAGATGGGAATCTGCTGGATCTGCTCTAATATATGGTCACTGAAACCCACTCTAATACTCAACTCCCTCTTTAACCTATCCCAATCCCACGTCTCATCGATTCACAGGTCCTTCACCCTCATGGAAGGGGAGTGAGTGATCTGCCTAGTGTTCGAAAAGCGCCCCTCACCAAATCACCACTCGTCCTAATTGCTGACCTCACCCCCTCCCAAAATCCCATGTCTCATCGGTTCACAGGTCCTTCACCCTCATGGAAGGGGAGTGAGTGATCTGCCTAGTACTCGAAAAGAGACCCTCACCAAATCACCACTCGTCCCAATTGCTAACCTCACCCTCTCCCAAAGTCCCCATGATTAGATGACAAGAAAACGAGAATGTTAGAAGATGTGCTCTTGGGCACGCCTACCTACTCTAGTGAGCCAGCTCCATTGTCTACTATCATGAGCGGTGATCGTCATCCTACAAGGGTGACAGGCGCCTTTAGGAGAGTACTTGCCGTGAAGGTACTGAGCCTACAACAACTTTCCCTCCTTGAAGCGCCACCACATCTTATATGAGAAGAGGGTAACAACGTTCGATAAGCGGCGAATCCCAAGGCGACTCTTGGAGAAAAGACGACCTTGGAACTGCCTCCCCCTCCAGGAGCCATCTCCGTGTCCTATTTGCTCCGTGTCCCCATAAATAACGATCGTGGATCTAGGGGGATCGATGGCCATAAAGAAGTGGAAGAGCGTTGAGGGTGCTCTTGATCTGCGCGAGCTAACTCCCAAAAAAAAAGATGCCTAGGCGACCGGCTAGTGATTCGGTTGATCATCTTCCGCCTCACGTTTGCAAAGGGTGCTCTCGCGATATGGCCATTGTACGGAGGGAAACCAAGCTAGGTGATGGGGAGGTCGCCGCGCGCAAAACCAGTCTTCTGCGCCCACCGGCCTGCAATGGGAGTGGAGAGGATGAAGGTGCTCTTCTGCATATTGACGAGCTGACCGGTGACCGAGCCATAGTGCTCCAGAAGGTGCATAAGTTCAACCACGAGTGAAGAGAACGAAAAAA